AATTGGCAAGTTAATCTTAAAACTTAATGTAGAAATTCAAGGGACCCAGATGTATGTACCAGAAACAAACCCTCCCACTCAGATCAATTGATTTGGAGCCAGCAAAGGTACCATAGTGGGGAATTCAATGGAGAAGAAAGAGTTAAAAATGACACTGAACAGCAGGACAGTCACAGGCAGAAAAATGAGATTAGACCCTGACTCACGCCATATACAAAAATGTGACAGTGGATCATTTTGTCATCATCGATCAGATGATGGTATCTTAGTTATTAACACCCAACCACGGTGACACAATATAAATTGGACTACGTCAAATCAAGAAGTGAAAAACAAGTGAAAATATTTGCAAATAAAATGTTTAAGAAGATACGTATACCCACAATGCATAAATAACTTACAACTTAAGAAAACTCAAGAATAGACAAGGGGTTTGAATAGAATTTTTCCCACAAGCACGATATAAAAATAGCCAGTAGGCATATGAAAAGACAGTGTATTGTTTGTCACTAAGAATTAAAATGAAAACCATAGTGCAGAACTGGTTCACGCCCACTAGAACAGATAAAGTCAAAAGGGCCGAAAAGCTGGGGATAGTGGGGCATCTATAATCCCAGTAACTGAAGAGGCTGACGCAGGATTGCTGTGAGTTTAAGGCCAGCCTGAACTACGTGCTGAGATCCTGTCTCAAAAATTGGGTGCAGGAAGGGCAAAAATAAACAGGTATTGGCAAGGATTTGGAAAAATTGAAACCCTCATAAATTCTTTGTGGATCGTGAAATGGTGCAACCATTTCTGAAAATATTTTGGCCAATGCTCATATTGTTAGCCAGAGTTAGCATGCTTCAGCAAGTCTGCTGCAGGCGCGTGCCCAGGAGAATTTGGGGAAAAAAATTAAGAACTCTCTATAAAAACGTGAACGTGAATTTTCATAGCAGTATTGCTCATAATGCCAAAAAGGGGAAATGACCCAATGTCCATCAATTGATAAATAGAAAAAAAGGATATCCATTTGATGAAGTATTGTTTGACCACTAAAGGGATAGAGAATGAGATAGCAGATTATCCTTGAAAGCACAGTAAGCAAAAGTGCAGGATACAGCTGGCCCCGTTTGTATGAAATGTCCAGAAGAGGCAAATCCATAAAGACGTAAAGTAGATTAGTGCAAAGGAGTGGAAGGAAATGGGAAGTAACTGTTAGCAGTTACACATTTTCTCTCAGGAGTGATGAAATTTTCTAAAATTAGGTAGTGGTGATGTTTGTACAGCTTCATGAACGTATTTTTTTAAAACCACTAAATGTATACTTTAAAGGGTATGCTCTAGGGTAGCTGAAGTATATTGCAATACAGCTGTTTTTAAAGTGAAGTAATATAAAAAGATAAGGGGACAGATGATGGAAGATTGAAGTATTAGGAACCTAAAGTTCCTGGTTTGATATCATTTGACCTCAGTATACAGGCAAAATTAATAAAGAAAGACAGATCTACCAGTGTTTGCAGGTTTTTTTAACTTTTAAAATGGTGTTAGAGAAACACCCTAAACTTCTAGCAAGTGTAAATGAAGGAGGGGAAATATCCGCTAGTTATTGGACTTCTCCACGTAAAATGATAGGAGGCAGTAGAACAATGTGTACAGAATTTCAGTGGAATAAGTTTGATTGAAAATTCCTTATCCAGTTGAGCTATAGTTCAGCAAATATAAGAACAATGGTTTTTACTCATAGAGGGCCAGATACTATACTACTACCACCAACAATAGCACATACGCACTTTCCCAGCCAAATAACCCAGACTTCAAGGTTGGGGTGATAAAATAGTGAAACAACATTTATAGTTTCTGCTGTTTTGTTTTAAATTTATTCAGATGTTAAAATTAGCTCTTATAAAATGATGCCTTTTGTAGAAAATAATGATGTTCTTGGATCAAGTATATACCCAAGATCATTCAAAAGTAAGATGTATTAAAAAGCACTAAATTCTCTATCTTTTATTTTTCTATTTTTTAGTATCCGTTGCAGCATCTACTGACTTCATGCGCAGTGGGGAGTTGGTACATATGCATGACACATCTTAATTACGTTGTGTCCCCTAACCCACTCTTCCCCCTCGTCCATCTCTTGGTCTGCTTCCCTTTTGCAAAAGTTCTGTCTCCCTGTTTTGTATTATCTATCTTTAATTTTGGTTTTTAATTTGCTTATACTTTGAGGTTCTCATATAAGAGAAACCATGTAATATTTTTAAGCGTCTATGTCTGATTTGTTTCACTGAACATTGTTTCTCAAGGTACATCCATTTTTCTCACAAATGAATTGAATATCCTTCTTTATGGCAGAGTAGTAGTCCATTGTGTATAAATACCACATTTTCTTTTATATTGTTCTTTGTACTATGATTTTCTCATATGAGGAAAACCATACGGTATTTAAACTTGTGTCTGATTTATTTCACTTAAATTCCTTATTTTATAAACAATTTGGTCCTTAGATGCTTCATTTTTATATTCACAGAAAATATATGGAATGAAACAAAGGAAAGAAAAGTGATCAAAGCAAAAAGAAAAAGAAAACAAGCTTTAAAATAGAATGAAAGCATGCTAAGCAAATGTATTACAATTACCAGCAGCATTAATTCCTTATTGACAGATTAAAAACGCCACGCTGTTTGAAAGTCAGAAATTGAAGAAAATAATATCAGTGTAAAGGGAAAAGAAGGCAAATAATATGCACAATAAATTTAAAAATTGAAAGTGGCCTTATTTGTATAAGACAAGACATTTAAAGACACAAGCTTTAATCTAGGTCAAAGAGTAATTTATGTTGGTAAAAGATAATCTCTATTGAAGATTTGTATTTGTACTGATCATAGAGAACTAAAACATTCTGAAAAAGTTTAAACATGGTTCTTGAAGTCAGATCTGGATTCAAGCAGGAAAAGTAAATGAATGTGCAAAGTTAAGAATAAAGGATAAAAATGCACTTGCAAAGAGGCAAAAGAGGTGACAGTGGCCCAGAGGCGGTACCAGATTCAGGACAAAGCAGATACGATCAGCAAGGCTGCGGGGCAGGAGTCAGCCCCAGGGGCAGGTGCCGTGCACAGAGTGAAGGCCGAGTCTCCACAGCGCCCCGTTCTCTGCCCTCTTACACTGAGCCCGTTCGGACCATGCGCCCTGCCTCCCTGGCGCCCTGCCTCCCTGGCGCCCTGCCTCGCAGGCATTGGGTTTGTCCCATACCATGAGGTAAGGCAAAAGTTGATGAAGAAAGTGAGGAAGTCAACTTTGAGTCTGAATAATAACCAGCCAAAAGAAAGATTGTGTATATTTTAAAATGGTGAATAGGGAAAATTTTACATTTTTTCCCCAATACTAAAAAAGTAAATCAGCTGAAACTACAAAGCATTTAAATCTATTCGTTTGAAAAGTATTATATTCATTCATCTGCATTGTTTGTGTCAGATTATTTAAAAAATGCCTTATAAGACATTGATTAATCACTGTTTTAAACTTGCACGGTTTTTTTAGATTAACCAAGTCAGTTATTCTTAGCTGGGCGTGGTGGCGCACGCCTGTAATCCCAGCACTCTGGAGACTGAGGCAGGAGGACTGTGTGAGTTGGAGGCTACCCTGGGCTACATAGTGAGTGCAAGGCCAGCCTGAACTACAGAAGGAGACCCTGTCTCAAAAAAATAAAATGTAAATAAAATGAAAAAGAAGCAAATTTTTATTAAACTACTGCGTCTCATCTCCTCTCTTTTTTAATCCTATTTTTTGTATGTTTGTTGCTAGTTTATTGTCATGTTACCTTCACTTTATGTTACCTGAGTTGGAAGATTTTATAGACTACCTCTTCACTGCCACAAAACATACTAAGACGCGTATGCTTTTTATCCCTATAAAACCTTACTATCCCGCTGAAACAGTCCATCACCGAGAAACTTTAACCGTACATGGAATGCCACAGTAGTTGCTATCTTTATGTAAGCCAATCGTGTGACTATAGAGGCTAAGGTCCTAAAAGCATAGACCCAGTTTCACTTTAAATGTAATAGTGTTCTCCTGTAGTTGATATATAAGTAATATTTTCCTCTTTTCTCCCATTTGAAATGACCTGTAGATTAAAACCTTGAGCAGAAAGATCTCATTAATCAAATGGATCTGGAATTCCCACCAAAATTTACCTTAGAAATTAGGTCATAATTTACCTTAGAAATTGGACATTTCCAAATGCAGCAACATGTCTTGCTGAAAATTTTATTCTGTGTTAGTCTCTAAGCCTTCATTGAGAACCTGCTTACTTTTAGTTAACTTTTTCTGTTAATGCTACTTCATATGTTTAGAGACAAATTAACGCGTCAGTGATATAAAGCAGAGATAAAAAGGGGAGGTGACTGTGGAACTAAGAACACAGTTACTGAAGGGAGTGTGTCCTGTTAGAGAAATCCAGAGAAGCATGTCCAAGGGGCGGGGTGAGGTGCTCACCACTATTACCTGGATGGATGAAGGACAGAGCCAGTAAGGTCAGAAACGTGGCCTTCAGGTGTGACAAAAAGATAGATTATTGCATATCCAGTTTTCTGGGGGGAAAATGCCTTACATATTTCCCTAGTTCCATGTGGATGGTTAAGATGCAAAGAAACTTTGGTGCTTAAGAAGTAAATCACGGCTGTTGGCCATGATTCCCACCACGCCAAGATGATCTACTTTCTGAGGAATTAAGAAAACTAAAACTCCAAGTGTAACAATACATTTATCCAAGGGCTGATCAAAAATACAGTATTTATACTTTAAAAATTTATTACAGGAAAAGACACATTGTCATTGAGCCCCCTCAGAATCCTCCCTCCTTGACTCTGACACACTTGTCGCAACAGTCTTGCCACTTTCTGGAGCATTTCTGGAAGTTCTCTTCCACGAGTCTCCCTACGAGGTGTGGAAAACATGGCGACTCCTGCTGCCAAGCGGATCTGAGACTGTGTGACTTCCGGCTTTTCCGCAAGGTCAGTGTGAAAGATAACTATTTTGAATGGATTCAGGACATCAGGGCAGCCAAGGTAGTGCAAGGAAAGACTGGAAGGAGGACTTCCGCAACTGTTTCTGAAAGTGCCAAGAAGGATGTGATGAATGTGTTTGAAGTGGTAAGTAGCCTTTTGAGGGGAGTTAATGGCGCTCTGTCTTTTACTGTAATAATTTTTAAAAAATTAAGCATTCATTGTAATTTGCAATCACACCTCATCTAAAAGTTAATATTGAAGTGTTTGTTTTAGATGATTAAACGATATGTGCATATTAAACGATTCGTGACGCATTCTGTAAGCCACCTTCCAGGTGGAAGTGAGGAGACTATGAGAAGGGCTACTTCAGCCGTGCAGTCTAACATGGAAAAATAACAAGATGACTGCACAGAGCATCAGTGAGAGACCGAAGGCAGTGTCGGGCAATGGGTTTACAATCACGTGTCCCGACACTAGTTTGCGTATCACGTGGAGGCAGTAATTAGAATGTGAGAGGAAAGCGAAAGGTATGAAGGAGGCCCTGGAAATTATAGACAGAGAAATCCAACATACTTAATTGTTTTTCAAGGCTGAGCACTGTGCTAGTATCTTTATATATATATATATATATATATATATTCCCTTAATTTTTATGACAATCCTATGAGACGAATAAATGCCATTACATAGATGAAGAGAGAGAACCATAGAAAGTTACAGGTTACACCAGGGACCACCCTGTTTGCATATTTTTTAAGCCAAAACATGGTCCTCCAATAAAATCATCACTTCAAAAATAACCAGAATCTTTTGTGTATTTATATAAAGTAGTCCATAGTAACGGCAGAGTTGGTGTATCTTGAGAATTCTTTCACCATTACTTTCCTTCCATTCTTAAAATTAAAAAAATATATTAGTTAACAGTTATTGTCTAACTCCTTTAAAATAATGAAATCAATGTTTAAAAATTATAATTTCAGACAAAAATATAGACTATCTAGTTGATAATACAGGAAAAACTTCAGTTGCCTTTTTCCTTTTTTTCAGTTTGTATTTTTTACTAGTACACGCTTACGGTACATAGCAACTACATTCCTTACAGGGGATTTGTACATATACCCCCGTTTCTTTTAAATCAGGTGTTTCAGACTGACAATTTGGCAGGCTCAAATCCTTGTGCCTCAACACATCACAACTGAATTGTGTTTTGCAGAGTTGATATTTGGTGGAAAATTTTTTTTTAGGTGAGGGACAGCCTTTTCAGTTGCCTGACACCCAGCTGCGCTATTAAACTAGCCTAGCTGTCATATTCACTTGGTCTGCTAAGAGAGTGGAGACGTGTGTGTTTGTCAGAACTTTAAATTATAAACCCTTTGGTAAACTTAACATATGCTCTTAATATAATTTTTGGGATATATTTAGCAAAATGAGGTGAGTCTCTAATTATACAAAGTGACTCAAGCCATATCAGGAGTTTTTCAAAACAGTCTCCATAAGCTAAGATTAAATGATGGAACAGTCGATAATTTCTATTATTCCTTAAAATGTTTTCTCTCTTAGAAAAAAGTAGGAAATCAGACATTTTTCTTATGCCAGATAAAAAAAATTGAAGATATATAAAACTGTAGGTGCTTACTCTGCTCAATATGTAGATTTATTTATCAGGGAATAATATTGAAGGTATGAGTCGTCAGAACACGGCCATATGTTTTCAGTCTGCCAGCTCCATTGTCAAGGTAAAACTAATTGGTAAGTAGAATGCCGCAGTATCATGGATGACTTGTTCTAGTATCTTGTCCATGATGTAAGGTAATGAAGAAGTCTTTAATGTCGACAAGGATTGCCTTCATGTGTGAAACATTTTAGAAATATATATTGTCCTGTAATGTAAATTAATTTCTTCCAAATTGTGTTGTATGAGGTTGAACCTTGTGAAATTTCAAATATTTGATTACTTGGGACCTACAAGGAAAAACAAAAGGTAAGTCATATGTTCCAAACTGATACATTTGCAATTAAAGTCTAGACAGTATTTTTCCAAAGTTGGAAAGTGTTTTTCAACAGAAGTAAAACTACAGGTTTGTTTCTAGGATAGGCATAGGCATGCAGTTTTGACCATGCTCACATGAAAGGTCATTTTGTTTCTTCATCCTCCTAGGTCTTGCATGTCTTGGAATTACCCAGAGCTTAACCCTTAAGCCTTCCTCTCTTCTTACTACTTAGGAAATCTCATCCATTCTGATAGCCTTACTTTTGCTCACAACTCCCAAAAATATCTTCACCCAGACCTACACTCCGAAATCTAACCTCATTTATCCAACTGCTTCCTTTGTGCTCCAAGTTGGTATTTGATAGCATCTTAGATTTAGCAGTCACTAACACAAGTCTTGGCTGTCTGTCTCCTCTTAGGTGAATCTTTTCCATCACAGAGAAGAGTACCTCCACCTACTTATTTGGTCCAGGAGAAACTTGGGGTCCATTTCAGCTCACCTTTCCTTCCTGTTCCTATGTCCTGCTCAGTCTGTGGGTACACAGAAATGTATCCCGTCATCCCCATGGCAGCCATCTTGGTTCACAGTCCCCTCTCATCTAGATAGTTGCAGAAATAGCCCAGCTCGTCCTTGGGCTTGTGCTCTGGACTTCCCCTTTTTCCAAGCTGTAGATAACCTCTTACTGTGCAGCGTTTAGGAGAAAATGCAACATTCTTACTGCCTGTGAGGCTTCCTGTGACCTGGCCGCTACTACTTCAGCCGGCCTCTTTCCTTTCTGTTCACTACATTCTGTTTCTCACAGCCACAGAACTCTTTGCTACCCTCAGTCCATGTTGCGTCCTCTCTCTGGAATACTGCTTCTTTTTTATTTCTTATTTAGCCTGCCTTTCAGCTCAAATGCCATTTCTCGGAGAGCTCTTCCTTAACCCCTCCCCAGTCTGACATAGGTCCCCGTTATTTCACACAGCACCTTATTCTTTCTTCATGATGCTTAGCACCGTTTGCGTTCACTCAGATGTGTGTCCATGTGTGTGATGTAAGCTCCAGGAGGGCAGAGCTCTCGTCCGCTGTATTCACCCTGCTACGCTCCTTCTCTGATACACAGCACCTACTCTCAGCTTGAAGTGGAGGTTGGTGCTTCAGCAAAGCCTTATTGGGTAGAATAGTATGTGGCAGTGAGCGGCCTCCAGAAGTGTGGTAGGGTACATAGAACATGGAGTTGGATTAAATGACGTCTTCATTTTGGGTGACCTTACCGTTCTGAGTCCCCAGAGTGTAAACCTTTTGAAATCAAGTACTTCCTCTGTTTTGTTCACTGCAGTACTGCCAGTGGCCAGAGAAGTGTTTGGTAAATAGTACATGCTTAATAAATATCTGTCCAGTGAATGAAAGGTCAAGATTTGATCCCCAGCATTGCAAAAACAAACAAAAAACAAAGCAAAGAAGCTGGACGTGGTGGTGCATTTTTACAATCCCAGGATTTGGGAGGCTGAGGCAGAAGGAGCACCATGAGTTCAAGGCCAGCCTAACCTGCAAGACCCTGTCTCTAAGAATAAAAGAACAAACAAAGGTGGGGTGGTCATGGAATTGCCATGATATAATAATAAATGACAAATTCTTTCTCAAAACATAATTCACACATTTTTATAATAATAATTCTCAAAAACCCTGGACTTCCGTGCAAATTAGAGATGGGGGACACTGAGGTAGGTCCAGTAGAATAATCTGTGACCTTTTTCACTCCAACTCGTATTTACCACCCACTACAAACTGTCTGTTTTTTGTTTTTTGTTTTTTTTTTTCTCCGATACTGGGAACTGAACTCACGACCTTGTGCTTGCCAGGCAGGCCCTTTTGCCACTGAGCTAAATCCCCAGCCCCCAAACTGACTATTTTTAACAAGTCATATTCCTAAAGTGTACTGAGGCAAAGATTGAGAAATACACGTGTAAATATTGCCTAGAACCAATGTCTCTAGAGTAATAGCTAATAAATAGGACTATATATCAGAATATCAAGACTGTTGATGTTAGGCTAAAATGTACATAAACGTGTGTGTGTGTGTGTGTGTGTGTATAATTGTAAAGTGGTTATATAGTGATGCTACTGTCTTCTGGTAAGAAATAGCAGAATATATGCTTGATTGACTGTCCCCTGTGTGTATTACTTTGGATTGGATTTAATTTCGGACAGTTGTTACATTCTCTCACCACCCTCCCTTTGGTATACCAGGAATCAGGGCCGTGCAGATGCTAGGCAGGTGCTCTGCCACTGACCTATATTCCCAGTCCTAGCTCAGACATTTTTTTAAAAGGGAAGAGAATAAATTTCTTTCCCCCAAAAGTCATACATTAACTGTACTTCAAGATGCTTTTCAAGAGAAATATTTATACTGCTAGTTACTGTGGCTGGAAGAGACTCAGTTATGCCACATTTACCTTTGTTTTGTCTAGTTTAAGAATTTGTGAGCTCTGCAGTCATTTTTATATCAGTTAATTGGGCATGAAATCCATGAGGGAGAAAGGAATGAGGGTGAGCATCACCGCAGGAGGTCACAAATCCCAGAAATAGGTGAAGGGAGAATTCATCAAGCAGCTGAACCACGCATTACCGCCAGACCCTGGGTTATGGAGAGGCAGCTTCAGCACTTGGAAGAGATGGAAGTGCTTCTTCAAGCCCTCTGCTGGTCTATCGTTGTAAAATGTTTACAAGCCATTTTGATTGTTTTTGCAATTAAAATATTTAAGTAGTTTAAGTGCCATACTTACTTCTGCGGGGCGTATATTCTCCTAAGTTACAGATTCTGCTATGCTGCTGTGCTTTCTAAAGTCTGTAGAAAGTGTTCAAATTTGAATACTTTAAATGGCCACATAGAAAATCATTAAGGTTTATGACTTGACTGTAAAGAAATCTACATTGCAAAATCTGAATTTATATGTCTTTGGACATGGGAGTATCACTGATCGGATAAACTGATTAGAGGAAAAACTACTTCTGGTAGAGCTGTGCTTAGAAAGGGTGGTTAATTGAACAAACTGCCATTGTTTGCTTAGTTACAGCACAGCTCATTTCCAGGCTGCTGTTCTGTAGGACTTCCTGCCCACCGTGGAGCTCAGCGATAAACGAAGCCAAGTCCTCCCCAGCCGGAGGTGC